TTTTGGGATATGTAAACACATTAGTGCTTTTTTGTGGCTTATTATGGCACAATATTTTTAATATATTATTTATCTTTTGCAGGTTAAATGTATATTTTCCTCTTTTTTTTGTGAAACTAAGAAATTACTAGTATGTAGCATGGGTATTTTGATATTTATGCAATTTTTAAGTTTTATTTACTATTTATTCTATTTTTTAATATTTAGATGTGTATGTCAAAGTTTTCTTTCTCATGCCCATTTCTTTATAACATGCGAGTCAACATTCGATAGTATGTAAATTAAATTAGACAACAGACAAATATCGTGGACATTAAGCAAAATAATAGACAAATATCGGTTTTAAGCACGAGTAGATACCAAAATTAGGAATTTGAAACGAAGGTTACAGAATAAGAATGCACAGATCGAGTAAACACAATCATAACTGGTGAATTGCTTATCTTCTTTTTCTTTCAAATATTTTGATAACTAACAGAAATGATTCTTGGCCATTTTGCAATACCCTCCCCTTAGCTAATACACATTACTTATCTTTTTTTAATACTTAGTATAATTTAAAATTGAACTATTTTGTGTCATGCTATAAATAACATGTATATCGTAAACTTGGTTATGTATATCCGTAAACAAACCACACCAGTATTGTGTATATCTCTGTCCCCATGTATATCTATACTTAATTGTACAACTACATGTATACATTTAATTGAACTAACATGTATATCTTGATGTGTATATCCGTAAACAAACCACACCAGTATTGTGTATATCTCTATCCTAATGTTTATCAATACTTAATTGTGCAACTACATGTATACATTTAATTGAGCTAATATGTATATCCTGATATGTATAACCATGAACTAACTACACTAGTGTTGTGTATATCTCTATCCCTATGTATATCAATACTTAATTGTACAAGTGCATGTATACATTTAATTGTTCTAACATGTATATCTTGATTTGTATATCAATAAACTAACAACACCAGTATTTGTGTATATCTGTGTTCCCATGTATATCAATACTTAATTGTACAAATACATGTATACATTTAATTGAGCTAATATGTATATCCTAATATGTATATCCGTGAAGTAACAACACCAGTATTGTGTATATCTCTATCCCCATGTATATCAATACTTAATTGTACACATACATGTATACATTTATTGTATATTTGTATGTATAACAAGAACAAAGATGTATATCCTAACTTGTATATCCATAAGTAATGTTAAATCTTTCCGTATCAATAAAATTCAGTGTTCAATATGACAACATAGTAAAGTAATTTCATATAAAATGATTAAAGTATTCAAAATCATGTGCCATAATACTGTTTACATGTCTATGCAGTAATATACATGATGATATATGTGTCCTACACAACTTAATGTATTGACATCGACCAGCTAAATTATATGATACATTTTGATATACATGCGAAAATGCAACCTCTAATAAATTAAAACTTGCATATACAAGTGCAAAATTTAAATAACTTGAGTGTACTTGAAAATGAATAATATTTCATTCATTTAATAAACTTGATATATACATAAATAATTTATCTTTATGGTCACTCAGTGGTAATTAGGTATATTTCTACATGTGTAACGACCCGACTTATCGTTTTAAGAATTTACGCCCCGTTCAGTGAGTTAAGGTCTCAAGCAGTTTCGCAATATGTATTATGACCCGCGGGTATGGTCGAGTTTGATTTACTGAAGATTCGGAATTAAATTAAAAGAATAATCCTTAATTTGAAGCTTAAATGGAAAGAGTTGACCGGAGAGTTAACTTTTGAGCAAACGACTCCGAAATAGAATTTTGAGGATGGAAATAGCTTCGTATGATGATTTCGGACTTAGGCGTATGTTCGAATTTGGATTTGGAAGTCCGTAGGACAATTCGACACATTTTGGCGAAAGTTGAAAAATATAAGATTTTGGAAAAGTCCGACCGAAGGGTAAATATTTGATAACGAGGTCGGATTTCAATTTCGAAAATTGGAATAGTTCTATTAAGTCAATTATGACTTGTGTGCAAAATTTGAAGTCATTACGGATTGATTTGATACGTTTCGGCGCAAAATATAGAAGTTGGAAGATTTAAAAACTTATAATTCGATGCGCGATTCATAATTTTGGCGTTGTTTGACATAGTTTGAAGCCTTGACTAAGTTCGTATTGTATTTTGGGATGTGTTGGTATATTTGGTTGAGGTTTCGAGGGCCTCGGGTTAATTTCGGAAGGTTAACGGATCAATTCGGACATGAAGATAAGCTGCTGGAATTTTCTGGGCAGCAACATGAACAATGATTCGCAGAAGCGTGAACAGTACCGCAAGTGCATGAACAGTAACCGCGGGTGCAAATCTGGGCAGAATGTTAAGGACAAAAATTGGTCATTTTGCCATTTTCGTTTTTGGATTTTTGGAGCTCGGATTTGGACGACTCTGGAGGAATTCTTCACAAGCTTGGTTGGGATAAGTGTTCTATATCCTAAAGTGTTTATATTTCATGAATCCATGATTATATTCATCATTTAATTCGGATTTAAATGGAAGAAATCAAGATTTTTGTAAAATCTTCCAAAAATAAAAATTTAAGATTTGGAGGTTGAGTTATTATCGGAATTTGATAAAATTGGTATGGTTGAACTCGTATCAGAATGGGTGTTCGAATTTCATGAAAATTATGTCAGGTTCCGAGGGACGAGCCCCGCGTTGACTTTTGTTGACTTTTTGGAATAAATTTTCAAGTCGACGTATTATTATCCAGAATTATTTTCGATGAATTTTAATGAAGTTATATAATTAATTTGGTTAAATTTGAGCGGTCCGGAGGTCAATTCAAGCAAGAAGACAATTTTGGAATATCGGCATAACTTCAAAAAATTTGTCTTGCTTAACCTCGAGTGGGGGAATTTCCCCTTAGGCATTGAACCTTATGTGTAATTTGTATAATTAAAAACCATGTACGCGAGGTGACGAGTACGTACTTGGTTTATATGTGCAAATTTTATTGAGTTAAAGTCTTGAACATATCATATAGTAAATTGGATAATTGTTGGCATATATTTAGTCATCTATTTGTCGTACCTAAATCCTTGTTGTTGAATCTGTTGTTATATGACAATTTGATGTGATTGTTATTTGATTATTTATGAAATTCTGTGAATTTGCTGGTTTGATAATTATTGGAATTTAATTTTATTTTGGATTTTTTCCTCTGCAATTAATTAATTAAATGAGTTTAAGAAGAGGTGATTATATAATTATTGAAATTTTTGGAGTTCCTGAAGGCTTTGCTTTATGTTGAGTAATTTATATCTCTATTAATTATTTTTTGGTATTATATACATTGTTTGGAGCCTTGGACTATTTGTTGTGAAATTAATTGATTTTGTTATATCTTTGAAATTTGGTTGTGGCCATTGGACAAATTGTGATATGAATTGATTTTTGTCATGTTGCCGTAATCATTTCCCATGTAAATTATTGTATTGTGTGAGTTATTATTTTGAGAAATTATTGTGTTGTGTGAGTTATTATTTTGGGAAGATAAGGGTGGCATTTCACTGTTGATATTATGTGGGTATAAGGGTGACATTTCACTGTTGTTGTGTTTGTTAGAATATTATCTGGGCGGAGCGATAAGGGTAGCTATAGGAGTGATAAGGGTGGATATTGATATTGTTCGGACGGAGCGATAAGGGTGGCTATAGGAGCGATAAGGGCGGCAATATGGGCGATAAGTGTGGCTATTGTCAGGGACGATATGTGATGATGTGGTGTTGTGGTGTTGATGATTTTCATGTGATGTTGGGATTTTATTGTGTTTATTTTTATACTTTGTGCCATTTATCTTGTTGTTGGTAAATTGATAGCAATCTGATTTATGTTGAAATTGAAAGCCTGTGGCTATTGCCAGACAGATTATAAAATGAAATGTGGGCACGGGGTGCTGTGATGAAATGATAATGATAATTGACACGTAAATTATCCGTGCAGTTGTGATATGAAATGAGGGCACGAGGTACCGGAGAAATATGATGATTAAACTATGGGCACGAGGTGCCATGAAAATATGAAAATGGGCTGAGACCCGTATTTTTATGATTATGAAATGAGGTATCACATGGTGACTATTAAATTGAAAGAATTATATTCAAAATATTTATTTGGAAGGATTCTTATTCAAAAAGAATTATATTTGAAAAATAATTATTTGAGAAAAATTATATTTGAAAGAGAGTTATCTGGAAGAATTATATGTGAAAGACAGTTATTTGAAGGACTTGATTTAATTGGGTGTAGTTGTGTTTATTAATTATTGAGTGATATTAATGGTACTCTTGTTGTCTGCTGTGCATATCACTGGTTATTTTATCCTGCCCTTATTGTTATTTGTTTCCTATTATTTTGTATAATATATATTGCACAGGTTATTAGACTAGCGAGTGTCTTGACTGTACCTTGTCTCTACTCCACTGAGGTTAGTCTTGATACTTACTGGGTACCGACCATGGCGTACTCATACTACACTTCTGCATATTTTTGTGCAGAGTCAAATATTGGAGATATCGGACTTGAGCAGAGTTAAAGCGGGATCGTAAGAATTCAAGGTAGAGCTGCTTGGTCATCGCAGTCCCTTGGAGTCTTTTTATTTCATTGTACTGTTAATTTGTAATCAAACAGTATTGTATACTCGGTCCTCGTGATCATTCCATGTATTCAGTTAGAGTTCGTGAATCAGTACTACTAGTCTTGGGAAGTTGTATATTTTAATTATTTTCGCTGTTAGTTTAAAAAAAATGGCTTCAAAACGTAACTGAAATCGGCTTACCTAGTCTTAGAGACTAGGTTCCATCACGACGCCTGTGGTGGGATTTTGGGTCCTGATAACATGTTCTCCTATTGTGGCTCTCACACCCGCATTGTCTGCATGAACTCTTTGGGCTATTAGCTTGTGATTCTGAAACCTTCTAGTATCTCACCTTCTTAGGTCTTCCAGGTATCTTATTCCCGACTGGTGGCAACACAACTTGTTCTAATACCTCTACAGGTATTGTCCATGTACTTTTATCTGGAAGAGGATAAAATGGAATGTCGTATGCTTTCAACATGTATTCATTGTTGTAGTACATAAAGCAATAATCTTCACCCTCCAAGTTTTTTGACCTCAAAATCACCCACGCATGCGGACAAGGGATTTGATCTAACTGGAACCTTCTACAACTACATGTCCTTTCCCTAAGGCAAACGATGAACAACCTCCCACTGTCAATAACTAAATGTAAGTTTTCAGTTGATGGTCTCACCTATATTTTATAGAAAAGCAAGATTAGTCAAGACTTTATGTAACTAATTCAAAAGATTAACCCTATTGAGTGTTTTTGTAGATAAACATTAATTTAAAATAAGGAACATGTTATATAATATAAATATACCATCATATGTTGTGATGCATCAAAATTTTCATCCAGTATAGCATTGTATTTTACGATAAGCTTTGTAAATGTCGTTTGTGCAGTGTTTCGATTTGTGTAGTTCCACCTGTTGATCAACATTCGAATTTCTTCTAGTAATTGTTGTATCGGAAGTTCCCTCGCTTCCCTAGTTGCCGAATTTAATGACTCTGCAATGTTGGAAATCATTGTCATTGTCCTGTTGACTTTTGCATGCGCTCTACACCACCTGTGATACCCAATATCAAATAAGTAATCCTTCACTCTTCCATCTATTTGTTCCATCTCTGTCATATGGTGATTAAACTCTTGAATGGTATATGCTCTTGCCGTAGCAAAAATTATCTCTCTTAGCTTTTCTTGGTTCCTCTTATATCTGTCATTTATGTGATTCCATAGATGCCATATACAAACATAATGAGAAACTTGAGGATACACTATTGAAGCTGCCTTCGCTATGCTCTCATTTCTGTTCGATACAATGCACATGTCATCTCTACCACCGAATGCTTCTTTGAACCTTTCGAAGAACCACCCCCATGAGGCATCATTCTTCTTATCAACAATTGCATATGCAAGTGGTAAAATCTTGCCTGTTTATAATATATTAATTATATTTATTCAACAAAGTGCTTATTATAAATATATTTTATTTATTAAGTGTATAGTTTATGCACACATCAATATGAAATATTTTACAATAACATACATGCGCTGGATGTGGTGTGTGTGTGTGTGGGGGGGGGGGATTAAATACATATGCATGTTTAATCGATATGCACAGATTTAAAATAAATATATAAGTATAAATGGTTATACACAGAATATTTATACATATACGTATACTCTGATATACAAAGAGAAAAATGGATATACACAAATATGTTAATGAAATACAGTAGAGTTTTTCTAGAACAAACCTCCAGCATCTTGCGAGCAAGCTGTGAGTAACTTTCCTCTGTACGTTGCTTTAAGAAAGTTTCCATCAACCACAACAATCGGTTTGCAAAATTCTCATCCCTTAATTGATGCATATAAGGCAACAAAAGCATACATGAAGTGTTCTTCATCTTATTTTCTCAAACTCACAACTGCCCCGGGGTTGGAATGCATCAACATATATAAGTAGCTCGACAACTTTGCATACGACTTACTTGGGTCTCCTCTCAAAAACTTAAGTGCCCTTTGCTTTGATCTATTTGCCTTCCAGTAGCTTAAGTCAATACCATAATATTTTTTCATGTCTTTCATTATGTCCTTTACAGTATATAATATTTTTGGATCAACATATTTATAACAAATAATTCTTCCAATTACAGGAGCAGTAGCTACATGTTGTGTAAACAATCTATCCCTCGCCGAACATGTGTGATCCTTACTGCATTTTCTAATTTTAAATATTTTTGACTTGTTTAGAGATGAAGACTTGAAAAATCACGTGCAACGGTCATTGACACTTACCAGCAGTATCTAATAACATCCAAATTTACACAATAGTAAATAAATTAAGATAAACTATCGTGCATCATTACTATAAAAAACTGACGATTGTCTACAATTATTAAAGTTAGATATACATTCATACCTTGATGGACTTGATCGATTAACCTTAAACTGATTTTTTTTTTCTGAATAGCATAGTTTTTCAACACCATCATCAGTGTCTCATCGTCCTTGTACAGCTAGCCTTCCGAAACTGTACTATTTAGAGGATCATCTATTATTGAAGTTTCATCAAAATCTACAACTTCTGGATCATCTACGTTATCAAACCTAATCAATTGCAGTGCATCACCATTATGTATATCATATGTACTGGCAATTTGTAGGCATACAAATGAATTTTCCTCGTTTCGATTAAAAGCGTGCATATCTTTCTCTTTCACTGTTATACACAGTGGATATTCATTAAACGCATAATTTTTCTTCTTCAACTCGATATATACACGCAATCCTATATCATTGTGTATCATCATTGGTGGTGAATCATCATCGCATTTGTACAAGATTTCAAGCAAATTAATTGTGGTGTCAACCATCAATTGTTCTGAAATTGTAGAAACAAAATCACCAAATTTAGTTTCCGTACTAATCACCACGTCTTCAACTGAGTAATCCACAAATCGATTGTTGCTATCATAGTGTCCCCCGTGCTATATCAAAATTGGCAAAGTAGCCATTGAATTTGTATTCTATATAGAGAGATTAAAACCCTTCTTCAGCCGATTTCTTAGAACTTCAAAAATAAAGAAAATTGTTCTCAAAGAAAGCACTAATTATTGCATCAGAATACATAAATTTGATATTCAACTGTCGTGATTGCTGAAAAATCTTCGCGCCCTTTTTGATTTTTGAATGAAATATAGTTTCTGCATTTGGTTTTATTTTGGTCGACTGCGTAGTTACGCTTCTGAAGGGATACATCGTGCAAGCGTGAATGGTGAGACAAAATCTTAAAATCCCTCCTATTTCTGAGGGGTTTATATAATCGTGTCTGTTGGGATTTGGCTATTTTACGCCAATTTTTTTAGGCTACTAGTGTCAACCTAAATTTATGGCCAATAAAATGCCAATTATAGTTAAGCATTGTTATACGGTGTCAAATCCCCAAATCAAAAACCATTAAGATACAAAATAAAGCCCACTTCCATACCGAAGGACCCAAACATGATTTTCGAATTTGATTCTTAAAAAATACAAGTCAAGCCCACTTACAAAGACCTAACACATGTCAACCCAAATAGTCCACTGGATCAGCCTAAACCCACCTAGCCCATCAACCACAACCCAATTAATCTATTTCCTTTCCTCTCTGAGCAAAATTCCAATCTATTTTCATCTCAAAGCCAGAATTTGCTACACCATCTCCATCTCTATCCAACGTTTTCTCCGTTACAAAGATTTAATATGCTTTTATGAAAAGGTTTTTATCTTTCCAACAACCCCTAATAAGCTAGAAGTTCGAAAATATGTTTAGTAACTTTTATTCAAACTGTCTATTGGTACTAAAAAAAATTATTAAATGTATATAAATATTAAATATAAAACTTAATAAAAATATTTAAAATCGTATTAAAATTCAGAACTCATAAAAATAAAATCTTGAAAACGCTTCTACCGCATTAACTTTTATCCTTCTGTAAAAGCCGAAAGCAAACATAAACTGCTATGAAATTAATCCTTTTTTTTCATTCTCCAAGATTTCCAGTTCCACGATCTTTTTTTAAACTTTTCACAGCACCCTTCTTTCACCATGCTTTGAGCGCCAAACATTCAGTCATTTCCCGCCTTCTTTCTTCCCATTTCCCTCCAAATATTCCTCTTCTATTCTTCTATAAATACCTAAGAGCAACTCTTGTTAAATCTCAAGAGTAAATTTGGAAAATTCATATATTATCCCATGTTATTTGACAAGCACTAATGCTTTTCTGAAATGTTCAATCATTGGTGTTTATCATTGACTTAGGATCGATAAATGAATTTTTCAACAATCTTTTTCATTAAAATAAAATAATAAATAATAAAAACACAGATGCTCGTGCTTCTTCTAAAAACTATTTTCTTAGAATTTTATCTAGCTACTGCTATCATCATGGAATTCCATAGTTTTCTTCGTGAAGACAGCCTGACATTAAGTTTACAATATGGTCATAACATAATACCATATTCTCCAATATTGTTTGGCTGTCTCGTGCAGAGGCGGATTTAAATTCTATGGGTTCAACTTTTAAGATTTTTAACATTGAACCTATTATATTTTTAAAGTTACGGGTTCATATTTATTATTTTTTAAATTTTAATAAATTTTACATATAAATTTTTACTCCGTGTCGATAGTTATAAGTTTAATTGAACCCGCATCTACCACATTGCATCCGCCCCTGGTCTCGCGTTGAAAATTATGGAATTATCATAGAGTCCAAGCTCAAAATGATACTCAATCGTCCTCTAGAAATGCAATGCCTTTGTAAGAATTACGAGGGGATTTGGAAGGAGAATTTAGTCGTGTGCTTCTTTCCTTGCCCAGGGCTGGCTGTTTTATTAGCAACAGTTTTGTGGTTTCACTATGCACCATTTTGATACAGCTAGTTTGTTTAACTGTGAAGATGTCAAGTTCTAGTTACAAATCAAATTAAAAAGGGGTTTTGTAATGTTGTGAGGCTAGAGGATAATGTTGAAAATAAAGTAATATTTTACCTATATATTAACAAAAGGTATTCAATTGACCATCTTTATCTGCTATCAATTTTTATTAAGTCCACGTTTACAATAAGTAAATCTAAGCAATTCTTAACCACTTAACATTTTGAAAGGATGTTGATTCCACTTGATGTGTAACCTCACCCAAGTGGATTTACGTGTCATTCTTTGATGAAGAAGCATAGGTCACGGATTCAAGTCGGTCATTAATGTTTATGTTGACAGTTTACATTACATTTCTTGAGGTCAACTTGTTTCGGACCCTATATCGGGCTATCCTTTTTGTTCTGATGGAGGAACATCAAAATCAGAGGGCGTAACTAGTGTAGAATCTATGAGTTTATCTGAATTTTTAATTTTTACTTATATCTATTTTGACCAAAATATTATTAAATATATAGAGATAATAAATTTTAAACTCATTAAATTAGATTAGATATGTTAGAATTGTGCTCATAAAATCTATATTCATTTGCCTCTGACCAATATAAGAATCTGAAAGTTCTTTGTATAATTCTCACGTAATTGATGACATTTGGGGCCCCATTGATATGCATTATCCAAATCCCAATTCTATTCTTCACTTAATCAATTTATACTAGGCAGAAATGAGAAGTATTACATAGGCGAAAAGTTGAAGCTAAAGGACGAGATCTATCAATTTCCACTATCGATTGACAAAAAATATTAGCTATTCTTCGACATCCATTTTGCCTGCAAAAAAGAAACTCTCAATTGCCATTAAAAATGCTTTTCTTGTTAACCAAAATAATAAAAGTACGACACAAAGGCGGAACTCGTATTTTAACTTTATTAGTTCTGAATTTTGGGATCACGACTTCAAGTGTTAATGATCGAGTTATAGATTTAATATTTATACATATTTTATGAATTCAAATAATCAAATACACTATTTGAGCAAAAGCTATTGGGTCCGGTCAAACCCGTAAGCAGGCTTGTGCCTCCGCCCCTCCGCCCCTAGTACGAAACATTTTAGATTTATAATAGTTGGGCGGTTTTGCCAAAAGGGATAAAAAGAAAAAAAAGAAAAGAAAAGAAAAGAAAAGAAAATAGAAGGTCCATACTCCATACCTTCCAACTTCATTCCAAGGAAAGTATTGAAGTTGAGACTAGATGGCAGAGGCTGCTTTTGGGCTGAGTAGTGAAGCTAGAATTTTTATTAAAGGATAGTTAAAAAGTAAAAAAAATAAAAATCAATGAAGAAGCTAAGGGAACAAAGTATAACATATGTACGTACAAAATAAATTTTTTATCTAGATAGACAATATAATTTTCGATAAAGAGGTGTCAATTTACACCCCTTGAACAAAAATGTCCCCGTCCCTAGTATTATTTCAACTTCTTTTACTAGATTTTAAGCTATAATTTTAAAGCTACACTGAGTTTAGTGTTAAAATTGTAAAGATTAAATTCATCAAGTACAAGTCCAACTCTGCCTCCGCTTAAAATGATATCAAAGTCAATTGGCTCATATGGAACATATATGAATTTTCACTAGACTAGTATAAATAGACTAATATGTATATCCCTATCCATTATCATCCGTTAAAGATTTATGTTTACCCGAAAAATAGTACAGTTGAATTTGTTCGTGGTCTCTAGACAAGTGAATTAATTTGATCCAAAAAGTAATGAAATAACTGATGAAATATAAACTACTTAGCCTTAGAATATAGATGAAACAACATGGCTAATGAGTCGGGGAACAAGGTTTTCGGGCACAACAATGATAGGATCAAAAGCAAGAGAATAAAATTGTATTAAAATGACGTATAGAATGTAGTCTAAGTTAGCCAGAAAATTCCTCTCTTACAATGATAACTGAGTTCCCTATTTATAGTTATGTACAGGGAAAGGAAGTCCTAGGATCATGCTCTTCTTTAATGTCAATTATAAGGGCCATTGATGAAGATGTAACGTTGGACATAAATGCTAAATTCCTTGTAACGGACCATCATCCTTAATGCTGCAAAATATTCTGTGTTAAATATTACCGGGCGCAAAGCATTTAATACTCCATTTATGATCGTTATTCCTTCCGGTGAGAAGCGGAACAACTATGTTCGATGGCCATCCCCATCTTGTGTTCCACGTGTTCTTCCTTTAAGTGGCTATGTATCATGTCATATTTTTTCCTATACAGATAGTCCCCCTACTTTTCAGTGACACAATCTTGAGTTACCGGGAAGTTGGTAGAAAGCACCTTTTTGGCAGGAATTACTATAACTCCCTTTGAAGTTCTTTGACAGTTGATTAGACGCACGTTTCTCCGCATTTAATGCCCCGAACACGCATCATCCCACGATTCAGCACAGCTTTTGCCGATTATCGAGGTAATCATGGCCATGAATTTAGCCGCCAAAATTTTACTTATACGCACCATCCTTCTTTTATGTACTTCATAATCTCTCAAACTTCTAATTTGCATTTTTATTTCCCAACTTTTCTCTGATCTTCTTCGAATCAGAACATTTTCTTCCTTCTATTGCTATGGTTTCCTCTTCAAAACGTGCTAGTTCTTCAAAGGGCAAGAACAAAACCGAGGATTCCGTTCCTCCAATAGTGGGTTCCATCATCCCAAGAAGGCTTAGTACTCTGAAGAATTTTGAAGAGAAATATTTTGCTGCTAACCCTCGCACATGGGCTGTTAATAGGTACCCTTCTTCTATTCGCCCTTCCAGTATTCCTGTTGTAAAGGAGGATTGCCGCTGTCATGAGTTGGACATCATTGCTCCTGACCTATCGGAGCGAGTGACCCTTCCCGGGGAAGGGTTCACATATTTTTTCACATATCCCTTTACTTTGGATGCATTTTCTT